CCTTTTTGTTTTTCTTTTCTTTTTTTGAGAGAAAGGTGCTAATTTTACGACACCGCATCTCTCCGGGTCAGAGAGATGCCGAGAGTTCGATGCCAGCGTGCGACTTCTGGGAGCCGGGTGAGATGTTGTTGATGCTGCTGCCCGGAGTGGTGCTGATGGAAGGCCCCGGGGCCACATATCATGCCGCTACCGACTCACACCCAGGTCTCTCCGGCGCGATGGCTCAACACCTTGCTACAATAAGGTGTTTACTGACAGTCTTGTCACAGTGGCACAGTAAATCAGCAGATCATCTTTTATCTGACTTTTAGCATCCTTCGGTTGTTGAACTTGTGCAGGAGATGATTGAATGTTTTTTTTTTCTTTCTCTCTGCTAAGTAAAACAAGATGATAGCGACGTCAACAAATGTCATGAATTAGAGGCAGAGTTTAGATGACGTTTCAGTTTCTAGATGGTTGAGTTCAAATATCCAGACACACCACAAATAGTTCCCATTACTCAAATGACCTCAGAAGCCTTCCTCTGTCCATGAACTCAACAAAAAGATAAATAATAATACTTATTTTTGATTAAGGGGAGATTACTAGAGTGGAGAACAAAATGTTATTTTACTTTTTACAACACCACAATAAGTCAGAAGTACAGCAACGTTTTTTTGTCCTTCAACCCTCCGGCACCACGAGGCGCGAGTTCTCCGGTGACGTCAGGCGGAGACCCAGCTTGTTTTGTTGTTTTGTTTTTTGTTCGCCGTTGTCCGAAGCGTTTGTTCTATTTCCGGGCGCACTTTTGAAAGACCTCTCTGTCACATTAATCAGGGATGAAGTGAATACCTCGCAGTGTTTTCTGTCAATCCAAAGGTCTGTGCTTTACACCGGCAACGATTTATCGGGGGCGGGAGGGGAAAAAAAAAAAAAAGTGTCTATATTTGCGGCCGCAACCTTTCGCCAGACCTCACCAGCTGATGTCACTTAATTATTTGTCCTCCTGAATCTAATACTTTTTCTCCGTGCCAGGCCTGGTCCAAAACACACACACACACACCCACACACACACACACACACACACACACACACACACACACACACCACACACACACACACACAAATAAACACACTAGCAGATGCTGTGCCTTACTGTTGGTCACTGCGGAAAATCAGACGGCCCCTCCATCTGCCTGTGTTATTCCTAGCAACCAGAGTTATGCTGCCATGGTGAAGACCTCCCCACATGAACTTGTCACTCACAGCAGCGGCTCTGTGTTTGCTTTTTTATCATGGTTCTGTTTTCGCCTCTCAAGCTTTTGCTCTTCGGCCCATTATTGCACACCTTCTTACCTTCCGCCGAGGACAGCCGAGTTCCTGTTTACAGCTTTTTTTCTCCCCGCCTGACTCTAGATGCCTCCCCTCTCTCATTAAAATGCGACTCGGAGACAGGGGCTCAGGAAATCAAAACTGCAGGGGAAGAACTTTATGATCTCGCGAGCCAGAGCCCGGCCTTGTAATGTCTCCAGTCGAGAAGCTTAATGTCGTGTGAGGCCTGGTGAACCACGCAAGGGTTTTGTTGTTTTTTTGTCGTAAAATGTGTGCGCCGTAAGCAAGGAAAGCTTACATCTGTTCAGACAAATGTGTGATTTAGTGTTGGATGTGTGTGTGTGTGTGTGTGTGTGTGTGTGTGTGTGTGTGTGTGTGCTGTGTGTGTGTGTGTGTGTGTGTGTGAGGGGTTGGGGGGCTATCGAAGAAAATCCAGCAGAAATCTTGATAAACCACTCAAATCCACCGTAACCACAGAAATGACTCCGTAAAGCGGAGTAATTCCCAAACGAAGTGTGAGAAAAAGGAGGAAAAGAATGACTTTGTAAGACCTTTAACGACACGGTTTACTCTAGGATGAGGGTCGAGTTTCCTCGGAAATATTGCAGCGTCTGAAATGCGGGGCGGCATTTGTTCTCATTTTGCACGCCGACTTATGTGTTGGTATTACGCTGGAAATAGTTATGCTTGGATTTCAGCCTGTTCCGACCTTCTTTCACGTCCATTAAAAGAAGACTGCGGTCTCTCACACAGTCTGTGGTTGTTGGCGGAGGAAGATTTCTGGGGAGCATAAGTGCTAAATTTATCTGTCGACATTTCGCAGAGCGGACAACTCTTGCGCTTGTTGCGCAGTGACAGTGCTGATCAATTCTCACATGCTAAATGTGGTGTTAATGCTCGGAGTAATTCATTTCCTGATTTCATTCTGGGCCTCTGTGGTGCAGTAAAAGTCTGCTGTAAGGACGAGGTGTCACGTATGACGTGTTCTTGCACAATATTTAACCTATATTACCAAGTCTTGCTTGGTAATAACTTAGAAATAACAATTCCCACTTGAGTCCAATAAAACAAAACAAAAAATCACTTTTACAGTCCTGCAGACGTCTGTGAATAAATTGAGTTTTGTCTGAGCTGTGAAGCCTAAATACAAAAGCACCGAAGAAGAGGTTCCAGATAATAACAAAGATATTAAAGGTCTTCTTTAGATGTTTCCATAAGACTAAAACGAGCAGGCGTTGCTGAGAATCCATAATGTCCGACGATTGAATTTCTTAGCTGCTTAGTTAGCTCTTGATGCTAAGTGCTAAAGTAGAAGGACACTGGACTTCCTCTTGTTTCTTGAGAATGACTTTTCTGCTTTTCACAGGGGTTTTTCATTTGCAAGCACCTTTGGAAATAACGGCCCGTTAAATTGTAGAGCAATAACACGAGTCGGGCCTCTAATGAGGTTTCTCTCAACTTGCAGCTTTTCATCTGTTACAATATGTGACATGTCCGAGGCCGGGGCTGCGTGTTATAGTCAGCGACTGCATAGTCACTTTGAAAAAGTAACTTAGTAAAAGTAACTACTTAAATCAAGTAGTCGGTAATCTAACTAAGTTACATTAAAAGTCACTTTTTTTAGTTACTTTCAACAACGCTCCACCACCTGTGAACGTCCCGTTGATCCGAGACCAGGAAATATCCAACATTCACACAACAGAGCCCAAAGCCAGGATGTGAAGAAGAGCGTTTTGCTTTGTGGAAACACCACCGTCGTCTCAGCACCATCACCCATCCATCTGTATAGACAGATATCTTGGAGGCAACAGCGAGAACGTTTTGCTGAATCTGGGAACACAAGTGAGTTCATGCAGAGACTGACTGAAGTAATGACGCTGGAAAAAAAAAATAGAAAAACATCACAGCTGTCGAAATGATTTCAAGAGGACTCGAGACCAGACCCCCATTACGCACAACATGACCTTGATATTTCACTATCAACCACAGCTTCGTGTAAATGGGGTCTGGTGGGTTGTAATGGAAAAGTTCTTAAGAGTTTGCTGGTACTCTGTTTCCAGTGAAGCCATAGGCAGTGCACACCCGGCGGCTGCTGCTTTTTCTCTGGAACTTCCCAGACCCTCAGTCCCAGCCGCTTCTATAAAACTGCTCTTTAAATGCAACGCGGGCAGCAGGTGGGGGCTTAATGCCATGACAAGAATGCCGAGCAGGGGGAAGGACTCTGCGGGGGTTTAAAGATGCCCCTAGGCGCTGTGGAGGAGACCTCTGCGGGGTTGCCCTTTAAGGCTGCGTGGTCAGTCGGAGCGAAGTTAAGCTGGAAGACTCTACATGTGAACCTGTCACTCTTTCAATCCCGGGGGGCTCGGCGGGGAGGGCGAGTGTGTGTACCAAGGTGGATTTAGACTATTAGTTCTGGGTAACCCAGGCATCCACGTCCATGTGTGTGGAGAGTCACTGAGGTCTTTCTGCTAATTATAGGCTGAAATCTGACAGAGAAAAATTAGAGGGAAAAGGGACAGCTGCAAGGTGCTGCAGATACCGAGGGGAGAGGAGAAAGGAGAGGAGGAGGGTTCAGTTTCTTGGTAAATCCTCAAACCCCCTCCTTGAACCAAAAAACAAAATTCAATCATCTTGGTGTCCTTCTCGCTATATTATCCCCTTTCAACACAACCCCACCGCCCTGCTCGTCCTCTGGGACAGGGGGTCAGAGGTTAGTCCCAGATGGGATCACCACGAGTTTCACGGGACGTTCCATCCTCTCCCTGATGTATTGCCATATCCTTAGAGGAGCTTAGCTAGCAGCTAGAGCAGGACACTGAGACCTCCCCAGGGTGAAGCAAGTACAATCCCAACGCACACGGACAACACCTGTATGAGCTCAGTAAAAGTGAAAGATATGTTGTCTTTGGGCAAAAAAAAAAAAAGAATAAATAAAATGAAAAATTTGTAGCTTGCAGATCCAAAGTCTTTCAGACTCGGATTCACCGCAAAGACGCTCGTTCTTCCTGAGTGATCCTCCACTTCCCCGCTTCTCTGGGTTCGGAGTACGCCTGGAAACCCAGACACATTTCTCTTTACAACTTTGTATTAAACACGTCGGTTGTGTTCGCATCAGGCACGATGCGGCCTCATATGAGACCGTCTCCTCAGAGACCAGGAAAAACACTTCCTCATATTTCCGTCCAGTGATAAAGTCGAAGAGAAGAATCGCCTCGGTTTTACTCTTTAACTATATCATAAAAACGTATGACTTCAACCGACTTCTGATCAACTACAAGTGGCGCATGCAAGCGGAGTTATCCCTCAGACGAACATCAAAACCGAGACGTGTGATTATGAACAGCTGGGTGCAAAATCCTGGTCCATGCGAACCAGGAAGAAGTTGTGAGACCACAAAGCTTCAAGCCACAGCAGACGAATAGCTTATAACTTAAATGTGATCATTTGATTTTATGTCGTTATCTGGGCCTCCGGCAGTGTTTTCTCTTCACTGCGGAGAAAAAGTTATAAGTGATCATCTGCTTGACGTGTGATGACACAATATGGATTTTCCTTCCAGCTTGTGAAACTGAATACGTCGTTATTGTCATTTTATAAAAAAACGGCACGTAAAATTATGACCGGATTTTATTCTGATGGTGTCAAAATGACGGACATCGAGAAAGTCTAACGCAACCTCTGACCTACAGATCTGGAAGATGGGTCGTCTCTGGCCCCGCCCCCGCAGCCAGTGCACCAATCAACAACTGACTTCGAACTGACGTCCCGCCGGCCCGATTGTTGCAAATCCAAAAAGGGTGAATCCTAATGTGATTTAAATGTTTCGACGATTGAAATGTAAAAACGACAAAGATGTATCTTTTTTCAATTATTGATTTGCTTTTGCTCACACTCCCACTCACTTTTGTTAGTCTCTCAGCTTTCAGCTGATCTCACCCTCCGTTCTCTGCCAGTGCGCGAAACATTCCTCCTCATTGTTCTAACATTGTGAGATTACAATCTAGATACAAGCGTTTCCGTGGGAAGGTCCTGGGCTCGTCTTGGAGTGGCTCAGCCGTCATCCAGCTGAGGCGCAGCAGCCTGGTCCGGATCGGTTCCCTGATTGACAGGTGTCTGACAATCCTTCTGGCTTTGCGCCGGAGATCCAAAGAGGCCTTTGCGGAGGCCCTGTTGTGGCGGGACCTGACCTTGCCCACTTTGTCGATGGCATTTACAGCTCCCAGGCTTTGTGTGACAGGTGCTCCGGCCCAAACCCTCGCACCGCTCCGCTGAACCTAAATCCTGCTCATTTTTTTTATTGCTCCCTCCGACTCTCCTCCCCTCCCCATTTCCTCCAGGAACGGTCGAGTCCGCTCAGCTTAAATAAATGCCTGTGGATAATTAGCTCATGTAGGTGTTGCAGGAAGTGGAGGACAAATCATAAGGGGTCATCATGTGACCCCTCTGTTTAAAACGAAACAGCACAGTCAGCTCTTTAGAGCAGCCCAGAATCAGAGCAATCGCTCCCTTTTTTGCTCCAAATCAGAACTGTTCCTGCTGCAAAGACTCACATCTCCCCCCTGGTGGCTGCCTCTGTAAAATGCACATCTCAACCCAACTGCTGTCGCGCTTTAATAAAAAAAGAAAAGCAAAGTAAGAGCAGATGCCAAAGCGAGAACTGCAGCTCATGTGTGTTTTGATCTACTGCACTCAGCTGACACACGGATGATTCTATGTCCCGTTCACTGCACTGGTGCTAAAGTGTAAATAAGGATTTCAATTACACAACCTCCCTTACTGTCTTTGGTTCAGCTTCGGAGGCGAAACAAGCTGTTTGGGAACCGGCTGCTTTGTCTGTTGTTGGATCAAGATTTAAAATTCTAATGATCTCTGCTGAGGCTTGTGCCTGTTTCCAGATGTCTTCTCCTTCTCTCTCTGTGTGTGTGTGTGTGTGTGTGTGTGTGCGTGTGTGTGTATAAGGTTCAGGCCAGGTACAAGGATCCTCCTTCAGCCTTAGTCCTTCTTTCTTTTCAAGCTAAAATCTATAATCCTTCTGGCATTGGGAGAGCAGAGGAAAGCTTGGGATTTACTCGTCGACCCACATTAATCACATGGCGATCATCATGGTGTTGGGTTCTCAGTTCTAGTTATATTACAGTTTTCTGTCTTTGTTACAAGGAGGCTTTATTGCTTAGGTAAATCAGAAGAAGAAGAGAATGTCTTCAAAGCTTTAAATACACACAGTATTTGATTTTAAGACTGCTAAACGTTCTCACAACAGTACTTGTGTGTGCTTTACTTCTGCCTGACTTAGACTGGCTTAGGAAAAACAAAGTTCTGCGGTATAATCAGGCTAAAACTGTTTTGTAGGGCACGTGTCATCATTTTGTGGATTTACTCTTCAATTTGGTTCAGGCTTGCTCACATTATGACATACGTAAACAATAATATGGTAATATTGGCTGCCCGACAGGGGTTCCTGACTGCCACACCCTTACGAACACGAGTTCTTCTCAATTCCAGGTGACTTACTTTACAAACAGACTCCGCCTCCAGCACCTATACAGACTCGTTCTGACACGCACCGTCAAATGCACACAACTGGTTCTTATTTCATGTAATTTGCATACTTTGATACCAGAGGAATCCCTGATTGAATAAAGTCAACCATGTATTTATGGTGCCATGCATCTTCTTGTGCAACAAAAGTATCTTCTCACCTGGCAAACTTTATGCTCACAAACAACAGGCTTGTTGGTTACCTTGGTGGGCTGGTTGTCTGTTGTAACTGTGACCAGTTCATATGTGATGCATTCCTCATTTTAGTGGACATTCCTCTAAAGTTGTTTGTGTTTCAGAAACGTTTAAAGCGTTGATTACCAACGCCGGTCTTTAAGAGTGTAGGGAGGAACTGATGCGGCAAAAACCTCATAAGTAACAACAATGAGCTGAATATGGCAAGACTTTTTAGACACAAACAGAAGCGAATTTCTAAACCTCAAAAAGAGTTTGATGGAAGCAGCTACAAGATCCATGCTGACGATGGAGGAGTCGAGCAGAGCCGCGGCCTACTTTTCGCTGGCGGTAATGGAGCCTGGACATACCAGACCTGCGGCTGATTGTTGGCTTCAGAGAGCTACATCAAAATATTCTACCTAAGGCAAGACGGTGGGAATTAATGCTTCCCAGCCGCTCGCATGTTTTCGCTCTTTGCTTTTGCGAAAAAAAAAAAAAATCCTACATGAATAATGCAATGCTCAGTTGCTTCACGTGTGTTCGGCCACATGGATTCCTGAATGTGTGTAAGTAGATACAAGTTGGACTGCTCACAACGTCTCTGTGTGGACGTGGTGGAAGCACCGAGCTTATTAGGAAGTTCACTGCTGGGAGCCTAATGGCCGGTGACTCCTTGTTGAGCTATATTGTGCGTGCAAGAGAAGGCCTGCATCCAAAAAACCACAAACACTCACCCTGATTGCCCCAACTATAAGCATATGTCAGCTTGCTGTGTGTTTTTCTGCCTCAGTGTGTGTGTGCGCGTGTGTGTGTGTGTGTGTGTGTGTGTGCGTGCGCGTGTGTGTGTGTGTGTGTGTGTGTGTGTGTGTGTGTGTGTGTGTGCACCACACTGAATCTTGTTTTCTTACTCAACATGTTTTCACCAGAGTTCCTTCCACAGTGGCGTGTTACTTATTTAGCTTCATAATGCAGAACATGAAGCACTTGAATCTAAGCTAGACATCAAAATGGCTTTTAAAAAAAACAACAAAAAAAACTCTAAATGATAAAATAAAACCACTTGTGTGTTTTTGTTTCCCGCTATTCCAGAGTTCAATTAAATGTTGATTCAGTTTATTCACAAAGCGCCAATTCACAACACATGTTGCCTCAAGATGCTTTACAAGCAAAATCCAACCGTACAGACGGCTCCAGAGTCCAGTACGTAGTTACTCAAACATATACCTAGAAAAAGTAAAATCCAAGACACTGATCATTTTGAGTGATCTCTTTGATTTTTTTCAGAGCTGTAAATAGAAAATTTTAAGTAGATAGCTGCGTCTTGTTTTAAACCTAAGCACAAAAAACAAAAACTGGATGTTGTCATAGCAAAAATAAATGGGAGTTTATTCAGAAACCAAAGCTTAAAGAGGTAAAACCTGAAAAGTGAAACTCTGGTAAAAAAAAAAAATAATAATAATAAAATAACTACATAAATAAAATAAAAAGTTTTTAAGGCACTCTGCCATTTATAATTATCAAAGTGAAACATCCAATGTTACTCTGTGAGTGAAGGTTTTATTTGAGTGCCCTAAATTAAACACAACATTGATAAGTTACAATTTAGCAATCTTTGGTTTTCTAAAGCTTTCAGCTAACATTAGCAACCAGCCAATTATTTACACCAGATGGCTGAAAGGTCAATAATTGGCTCAGACAAAGCTACATAACATCTTAGCGGCTTCTTCCTTCTGTAACAACCTCTACACCGAAGAGTGTTTGGTAGGTTCATTGAGGAAAAACATCTTTTTATTTGTTTATAACTAGCCAGTTTGTGTTTCTCTCTCTCTGTGTGTGTGTGCGTGTGTGTGTGATTTCAGAGAAACTACAACACCGCTGATGAATGAAACGTGACGGCTCCATCCACAGACGCCTAAATGAGAACGCCATCTGCCTCTGAGGTCTCGTTGCACTCTCAGCTTCTCTCTACGCGGTTTTTCAGATTTCAGTTTCTATGGGGTTTTTTCATCCACATTTTACATTCTGATTCCGTTTTATGATTCCTGACTATTGTTAACATTTCAGAACATTTCAGTACGCAGTAGGTAACTTTGATTAAAAAAAAGAAGATTTTTTTTTACGTATTTGTTGGAAATGTCACTTTGTTGTGACAGTGTGGAATGAGACAGATCATCTTTGAAAAAAGAAATCAAGCTCCTTCACCTTCTCCCAGCGTTAACTCAAATAACCAATCAGAACCAGGAGGCGGGTCTTAGAGCTGTATATCACAATCTCGTGTGGCGCTGCTCGCCACTCACCTTTGCTCTGTGCTATGCTGCAGTTAAAATAGTCTGCTATGAATGCTGAGGCTAGTTAGCATAGCCATTGGTGATGACAGATAAATGGCTTTTCTGTAACACCAAGTTGTTTCTCTGCTATTAGCAGATTTAGCAGCGTCTGGATGAGTTTGATTGACAGTGCTAAGTCCCACCCCTTGGCTCTGATTGGTTGTTTCAGGAGCGCCGCATTGAAAGAAACCATAGTTCTGGGAGGAGCTGGAATTTTTCCAGATAACCTGTCTCATAACATGCTTTCACGGCTGTTTCAACAAATATGCAAAAAGCATTTTCTTTGTAGAAGTTACATTTTGCAGCTTTAATAAAATATTGGTTTGTGGGCTACGGTCCTGCTTCAGAATCCGCCTCAAAACTTTATGAGCTTCGCTCATCCACACTTCTAAGGTGACGAAGCGTTGAAATGTTGTAAAAATCACCAGTTCTTTGGGATGAGAAATCCGACATAAACGCCGAAGTGAGCAGAGCAGCATAATTATTAGCTGCCGTGCCAAGAGAGATACAGCAGATGGTTGCATCAAGGATTAGAAGCCACTAGTTACACTCGTAATCACGCGCTTATCTCACACTAACACATCCTCTTAAATCAACATTTGCCGTTGAGGCTTTCTGCGGACATCGCATTCTCTTAAACACAAGGGCTAACACATGCCACCGCTCAGACACCCCAAAGCCCCGGGGGCGAGGCGGAGGAGGCGGCCGCAGGGCCCGGGGCGTCAGGGGCGGGGGGAGGCCACATGGTGGCTGGACGGAGATTTGAGAAGACTTATCCGAGGACAGAGAGCGCGGCCGACTGCAGCTGTGCTGAAATGATTTATATCTGCAGAAACGCATACTTGTTCACTTTCTTTCTTTCTTTGTTTCTCTCTTTGAAGCCCGTTACCCGCCGCCATGTGCCAATCTGGTCCTGAAAACACAAGTGCGTGTTCTTGCGACAAAGCTGCACATGATCTCAATATGTAACTGGAAAATTGATTTGCACATTTGTCTGTGACGAAACGCATTGTCAGTAGTGTGTTTTTTTTTCTCTTTTTCCCTCTTTGTTTAGTCACAGTGGGGAACAACAGCCGCTGCTGAAATCTCTCGCTCTGCAGATGTTGGTTGTGCGAGGTTTCAAAGACTAATCTGTGTTGACTTCATCTCTCACACACTCTGTACATCTGTAATCTGGCCAGATACAGTTAAGCCCGTTATTATTCATACTGCTGGCAGGCCTAGATGTAAATTAGATTTATGTAACCTAGAAGTATTCACTGCTGGAAGCCATGTCACTGTTTACTGCAGAGCACCTATAAAAACTTAAGATTACGTCGTCGTCGTCATGCGATTGTCCCTTTGATTCTGTTCTCTTCCTGTCGGATTATTTTGTTTGTTTTCTGTTCTTACTGTACATTTTTCTATGTAACAGCCGTAGTGTAAAAAAAAAAAAGAACAAAACTTGTATTTTCAAGGTGAAAACTGATTTCTACAAAAATAAACACAAAATAGGTGATTGTGTAAATATCCACCTCAGTTGTTCACTGTGTCCTTGCAGCACAAAGGTTCTGGGTTCGATTCCTGGCCCAGGGTCTTTCTGCATGTTCTCCCTGTGCATGGTGCGCTTTCTCCAGGTACTCCGGCTTCCTCCCACAGTCCAAAAACATCCCTGGTTAATTGGTCTCTCTAGATTCTCCCCAGGTGTGTGTGTGTGTGTGTGTGTGTGTGCATGGTTGTTTGTCCTGTCTGTCTCTGTGTTGCCCCGCCTCTCGCCCAGAACATTAGCTGGAGAGGCACCAGCACCTCCCGACCCAACTATGGACAAAGGTGATGGTGGAGTCTGCCAACAGAACAGCTACTTTTTCTTGTCAATATTAATCCATTAAGTTTATGTGTGTAGTGCAGTTCAAAGCACTTTATGTAATAAAAGCACAAAATACAAAGTCATAAAAACATCTGATATCAAGGAATCATTGTCGCAAAACAATATGTTGCTGAAAAGTTATTTAAAAGTTAGTTTTGTTTCAAGTGAACTAGAATACTTGAAGAAGAAACTGGACCAAAAATACTGGTTCGGACTTTATGCTTTTGCAGAGACCTTTCAAATACAGAATGAGTTATTGCGACAGTGATGGCCTTCTGGACCATTTAACACCAAGTTACTGTAAATTAACACACATAAATTTTATGCAACTTTCCTCACTATCTGAAGGAAGAAGGTCATGAAAGTTTTGCTCTATTCAGTGTTTCATTTGTAGCTAATGCTACTTTCAACTTATTTACTGACATCCAGACGAATCATTCTCCATATCGATGAGCTGAAGTCCAGCTTGAACTCCCGAGTCGATCTGACGGCGCTCGTTGGGTTCTTGGAGTTGTGCATTGGAAGGGTTCTGGATCGGTTCAGACCTCATAAGAAAGCGACACAGAGTTGAGTTATTTACTGTATTTCCACTTCTTTTAACCCCTTACCTTGACACAAGAACAACTGGTTGAGCTCTGATGCCAATAACAGATGCAAGGGTGCACACAGAAAGGAGAACTTCAAATTCTCTTTATACGGAGCCATAAATATCCTCCTGACGTTTATCGTTCCCAGTGGGGCAAAGGTGCTAAACTCCTTGGATCTTAAAACAGTCCCTTGTTCTTTATTCATTATTGCTCCAAAGCAGCCACCGGGTAAATGTGAAGCTGTACGCAAATGAGAGTCTAATCAGAACAAATCCAGGCTTTTTTGTTTTTGAATGGCAGTTTTTCTTTGCAGCTAATTGTGGCGCCACAAAACAACATAACCTGCGTTCTGCACCACTGCCTTCATTACTGAAGAGAAAATCAGGACTGACAAGAGGGAGCATATTAAGAAATTAGTCCAGTTTAATGTTATGACGCTTCTAATGAGATGACACAAAGAAAAGCTAACCAAGATGTTCATTGATGTTTTCCCTCCATCTTAGCCTGAATGAATTTCCATTTTTGGCACAAAGTCAGTAAGAACATCATAGTGCAGAAAACATCCTATTATTTGATCATGAGTTGTCAGTAAAGATTGGGTCTTAAAGGGGCAGCATTATATGTTTTACAGCCATAGAAAACATTTTATAGCACAATCAAGTTACTATGTTACCTTCAGTTGTGATGAGTTAAAATAAATGTGACTTTGTAATTTAACGCCTTGAAATTGGGCAACTGTCTCTTTAAGAAGCTCCTGCTCTTTATGAAACTCTGCCTTCAGGAAGTCATCGCAACATGGTTCCTCTATTAACCCTTTAACAAAGTTTTATTGGCGTTTTCACTGAGACGTAGCTCCTTTAATGAGCTCAGCAGATGCTCAGTTTCACCAGGTGTTTGCTAATTGCTGCTGGCTAGTCTAAAGGAGCTGAGAGGGGGAGTCGTGAGGGAGGGCGGCTCTGTGAGGCAGATGCAGCTTGGAAACTTGAGCTCGAGCTTCATCCTCAAAGGCGGGGCTAGGTCCACCAGGAGTTCAGCAAAGCTGCATGGTTTCCAGGGAGATCAAAGGCTTTCTCAAACATGCATGACGAATCAAAGCATCGCTCCAGACACGTTACAGAGGAGGGAATAACATCACAACATGGTGCAAAGCTCAAAAAAGTAGATTTTACATAATATTGCCCATTTAAAAGATCCATCATATCTTTGGCTGGACCACTAAAAAAACATTCATAAAAGCTTTGGAGATTTGATTTGAATTGTTTTTGCTTTATTTTCTTGTGTATGCGAGTCTTTTGTAATTGTCAGATACCTTTCTGTTTGTGTTTGACGTTTTAGCCTTGATCAGTTCACCTTAATGGCACAAGGCAAAGAAAAACCCTGGAGTGAAGGCAATTCTCCCAACAGGACGACGGCTAACAAATGTTTCCAAAGTCCTGACCGACTGTGGCAACGATAGAAAACGGTCGTTTGCTAACGATATCCATCCAGTCTGAACTAGCATGAGGTCGGTAGTATGTGTGTGTGTGTGTGTTGTGATACGTGTGAATTCCTCTCCTCTTGGGTAACTCAGCGGTACAAGCTGACATTTTTAGTGTTCAGAAGATGTGGATGGAGCAACAGGTGCAGGAAAGACAAGGAAGTTGAGATGTCAGTGCTGAGAGTGTGCGGTCTTATTGAATTATGATTTATTTACTGGACAGAAAGATAACAGACAAGCTGCCAGTATAGCGTTGGCTCTGTCAGACCCGATATAGCAACTAATGAGCCAAACTAATGCTGTGAAAGTCTGACTGGTGAACAGTTTTTGCTGACCTTACGCGTAATGCACCGTCTTTAGAAACTCCCATTGCACTGGGTATGCACATATATTCACCAGATGTCCAAGATCAACCAAATTAAATAAATCAAATGTGGCTTCTGGTGGTGGGGAGGGATATGTTGCGTGACTAAATATATGACTATGACTATATGACTATGACTGTGTCTTTGTCATAATCTTGAGCTTTAACGTCCTAATTCTGAATTATGTTCATAAAAACCAGCAAACGTACTGGAGCTCTGCTCGGGTTGCTGATTGGTAACGTTACATTCGGAAGCTCTTTGTTTTCTTTAGTTGAAAAAAGAAAAGAAAACAAAAAACGATTGGGTGTTTTTTTAGATGCAGTTGAATAAAGACCTGCAAAATATAAATTTAGCATAATACGTTCTTGTCAAAAAGCCAAGACCTCAACACTGTACTCCCTCCTTTCCTGTCGGGTCAAATTGCGATCAGAACTGATCTGATATCATTATAAACAGCAACATATTCGAAGACTTGCTGAGTAAATCTAGCAGCCAAAAGGCTGTGGACCTGCGCTCACCCTTCAGACTTGTTCTATAAAGACTTTCAGAGAACATGGAGGGCCTCTCCTTCAGCTCGCCCTTCCTGCAGATGGTTTGTGTTACCTCACCGTACGGCTTAAAAGTCCCCTGAGATTCCCAACTCGCCAGAGCCGAGCCCAGGTTTTGTGTGGTCCCTTGCGTTCTCCTCCACGTCTCCTCTGAGACGTCCCTCCGTCCATCGGCTTGTTAGAAGGAGCGCGTTGGGGATTTGTCCGTCGTCTCTTCCAGCCTCCCGTTGCATCGTCTCCATTTCCTGTCTCATCCTGTTATCTTCCTTCTAATTCAACAGGATTTTTTTTTACTCCTGTTCAGTTTTGTCCAGACGCAACGTTCCGCTTTATTCACTTTGACAGATTTCCCTTTCCAAAACGCATGACGAGCAGAAACTCGACACTCGAGTCCCTCCTTTGGCTCCGTTCCTATCCAGCTTCTTCTTCTGTTTTTTTTTCCTTCCTGTAACAAATTTATGAACGGCTCTTTGATGACAGAGATGTACTCATAAAAAGGAATGTGAACATTGAAGGCTCTCTCGTCTGAGCTCCACGTGTCCACCACCTGTTCTGTGCAATGAACCTGACCTGAGAGCAGAGCAGACTCGGCCAAATCGCATCCGACCGTTACGGCGCAGCGTCGGATTCAGGAGGAGGGAAGAGCGGAACGGAGCATCTTCGTCAGGAGCTTCGTCTCCTTAGTTCAGGGGACGTCAAATTCTGCAAATGCTTGTTAAAGTTTCTACGCTTTTCCGTGTGAACTTTGATTTTGTTTATTTTGTGATTGTTGTTTTTGTTTATTTACGTGGGTTTGGGGTCAGACTGAAATAATGTTCGAACCTCAATCTGTGGTATATAACTTTCAGACAAAGAATTAAAAAAAAAGCACTTAAAGGAGTAAACAGAACAAGAAAGCAAATGTACTCAAGTTTGAGATAACAAAAAATTATGAAAAAATATTAAAGACTTTTGAACAAATAAAATCTAAAAAAAAAAGCTAATTACTGATAAATGAAGCACACGCGAGACAGATGTACGTTTTGTGCTGTTTTAAAGACGTGGGTCTCTAATTTAGTATTTAAACGTTGAGGCAACGTCAGCGGCCATGTTCTCAGCGCAAATCAAGTGATTTACTGGTTTCACACGCTTATGCTGAAAACAAATGCAACTTCACGAACTTTGGCAGCAAAGCGAAGTGCGTGAAGAAGAAGCAGTGATTCAACAGGATGCTGTTTTTCAGGTCTGCAGCTGCAACTGATGGCCGAGAAGTTTTCAAACACAACAAACTGTTTTCTCGTCTGTGACGGGTTTCTGACTCTGCAAAGAGCCACTGCTGCAAAGTTCGTTCCGGATTTGCACCACAAGTCTGGAACAAACTTTCAGAAAGATTTTAGTTTCGTATTTCAGGCGTTTTGTCTTAAATTATGCAAATACAGTCGCCGTAATCCGTGTGAGTCGCCTTCAGTCTCCTGTTATCTGTGTGTGAATGTCTTCTATGCGTGTTGGAGCCTCTTCTTTTATTTTTCCATTACAGATGTTTCTGGGGATCCTGCTCGTGTGTGTGTGTGTGTGTGTGTGTGTGTGTGTGTGTGTGTGTGTGTGTGTGTGTGTGTGTGTGTGTGTGTGTGTGTGTGTGTGTGTGTGTG